TAGCTTACAGTAGAATGTTGAATGATAGCATATTTTTTATTTTATTTTATGCTGTGCTATAGTTTTTTAATTCAAAAAAAAATACTCATTGAGGTAGTGCAGAAGAAGGTAGGTTAAAAAGGGGATTCATTAGAAGGAAGCTAATTCAAAAAAAAAAACCTCATTGAGGTAGTGCAGAAGAAGGTAAGAAGGTAAGTTAAAAAGGGGATTCATTAGAAGGAAGTATTTTTGCAGAACAACCCATTTATCTTTTAAAATACTCTCAGAGACACTGTTATGCCCACAGAGACACTGATGTCTTTGGATCCTGAGGCTATATTCTGTTTGCATTAAAATAGAAACAAGACTTACATTAGTGTTAAAGGAAGCTAAATGTATTAGCAAATACTGTATGATAAGGAAAGCTCCTCTGTGTGCATGTCCTTTTATATATACACATATCTATATGGAACCCACTGGTAAACGTGTGTGCATAATTTTTTTGGGGCTCACATCACATGAAGTCATAGCTCCCCAGATCACTTTGGGATACAGGATAAGGGCTTAGCAAGCCAGCTGCAACACAAAGAGTAAAGAAATATAGATCTCTTGAGACCTAGTCTAGCTTTAAACAAAAGTCATGGTGCATCAAACTGCTTTCATGACCTGCCTCACAGAATTAAAGGCGGTGACTTAATTCCATAGGCAACAATTAATTCCATAGGTAATAATTCTGCTGCAATGCTGCAAACCATTCTGCTGTCAGTGAGTCCTTCTTGTGCTGGCAGTTTATGCAGTTCTCTCTGGGTTCCATGCAGGAGTGGTGCCTTCAGCACCGCTGAAGTCGAGAAGGCTGCATGGGGCAGATGCATTGCACCAGCTGAAAAAGAATCCCAACGGGCATTTGAAAGACAAAGGAGAAAACTTAGATCTTTGGGGATCTGATATCTGATGTCCTGAAGGTTAGATATTAGGAAGAATTTCTACATGGAAAGAGTAGTGAAGCACTGGAACAGGCTGCCCAGGGAAGTGGTGGAGTCACTGCCCTGGCAGTGTTCAAGAAACGTGTAGATTAGGCACTTACGGACATGGTTTAACAGGTATAGTATTGAGGGATTTATGCTTGGACTCAATGATCTCAAAGGTCTTTTTCAACCATAACAATTCTATGTTTTCTGTGTTATATATAAGAAATGTTTTTTTCATCTCAAAGTGTTAAAATCTTAACTGCTCAGTTTTCTAATCCCTGTTTTCTAGCCCAATCCAGGCACCTCTCCAGTGAAGTGGGACTGCTGGGGACCTCAGGTTCAACTCCAAGCTCACTTGCACACTGAGGAGGTAGCTCCCTAATATCAACACAACTGCTTAAAACTAGCCAGTATGGAAATCTTGGAGTGAGGTAATTTTATCCTCCTCACACCTCATAAAACGTTGTAGGAGACTATCTATTTGGGTTTAACGATGCAGAACCTTGTTCTGAAGGTCAGTATTTGGGACATTTAATTTCTAATTATTGTCCCAAAAAACTGAGCGGGGCTTGCCCTTTCTTTTTAAAACCCATCTGGAAAAATAGGCTTCAAGAAGAGCAATAATGACACTGCTAAGACAAAACATGCAGGAAGAGGGCACGGAGGTGTCAGGCAGTCAATTTCCTTCCAAGGACAAACCAGGCAAGGGGATAGCACACATGGCTCCCTAACATGCAGCCTCCCATTCTGCCTCGCCTGTAGAGGTTGTTGGTGAACGTCTCGCAGCCGAAATGAAAGAAAAATCCCAAACAAAAAAAATAGTTTTATTTGCAGCTTTCCACAGAATGCACTTTTTTTCCCCACTGAACACACTTTTCATTGAATTTGCTCTACAATGGAAGAATGTTGACCTGTTGATACACAGGGTCTTTAAACAGCATCGTTTCTGAAACGGTTCTTCTCTTTTCTTCCAGAAATCTGACTATGTTTGGTGTGCAATATATGCAAAAACCTGATCAGGTGTAATACCTAAGGATGGGGTATTTTCTTGGATTTTTTTTATGAAAGCATATGGAATTACTATCAATTCCTTATTTTCAGCAGTCATCTATAAAGGGGACAACAGAGCAAAATTTTAAGTTGTTGCAACACACTTTATTTTGTCAGGCAAATAGTATTTTAGATAGTCAATTAAATAGCACTATGTTATACTACATTTTATTCTTCTTACACATGATATAATGCATATTCACTGTAATTACAGTTTCATCATGCTAGGAACTTATACACATACCTACACTTTTAAAAACAGTGTTTCCTTAATAAAACCCACATATCTACAATAACAACAATTGCAAAGAACACATTGTTAAGTCAAGGTTTCAGCAAACTTTACAAACTACATAAAAAAATAGCTAAAAAAAAGGCAGAGAACATATCTTTACATTTGGTGAAGTTGTGTCTAGAAGTAATTTTGCTTTTGTATTTTTTTAAGGAATAAAATTATATACATTATTTAGTAATCCTCAAAAGAGGAAGTATTAAATAGCACAAACAATATTACAGTCCTAAGTTTTGGTGTTACAATAGAGGGGCTATTTTAAACAAATAAAAACCACTGTCTATTCTGTACAACGAGGGCCAAGCCCTCAGCTGATATAAACCGTAGTACCTAAAGGGACAACAAGGAAGTGACAATGAGTTTATACCAGCTGAGAACGTGGCACCTGACTGCTCTATACACAGGAGAAATCTGCGAAAGCATGGAAGCTTGGACCGGTTACACATTGACAGAAGTTGATTTTATATATATATATACTTATATATATGCTGAAGTTTTCATGCAGCAGGAAAAATGTTAGTTTAAGTGTAATCCCTTAAACAGTCATACCATAATAATGGTATATGAAGCAGCTTTAAAAATATTATTTTATAATCATATGAAACTCTGAGCTATGCTGATTGTTTTAACGGAATCCCCTATTGCCAAAATTCTAGTAGAAAACAGTGTAACTATAATTTCTGAGGCCTAATGGGGACCTATTAAAATATCACTGTACCTAACCACTTAAAGAGTAAATTGTACCCTTAAGTACTTATTAATCACTGTATTTCATCTGGAAAGAATTATGATCCTCACAATAGATATTAGTATCACACTAACTCTGCAGTGAATCTGCTGGGGAAATAAGGAAGAGCATGGTAGCATACAGAGCATATGCACTAATGTCATTATAGGAGGTAGTTTCACTTTGTGACACTCAAATTTTTGGTTTTGTAACTTAAGCACTTCAGAAGTTGCTCATTCTCAAAAAAACCCCCAAAAAACAAAAAACCAAAAAAAAAAAACAAAAGTAGCTTGCTGCACTGAAAGTCAGCTGGGAAAAAAGTAACTCCTCACTTTAATTTCACCATCTTTTTTTTTTATTTTTTTTTCTTTTTTTTTCTCTTTTTTCTTTTTTTTTCTTATTTTCTTTTTTTTTCTCTTCCAGAATCTGCTTTGGTAGCTTGTGGCTGCGTATCGTACAAATATGCATTTAGGCCTTATGATTAAGAAGAGCACTTAAATACATGGTACAGTGTAAAAATGTAAGCATTGCTATCCCCTTTGAAGCAAAGAGTGAGCATATGCAGTCAAGTCCAAGAGCTCCCACCAGAGCTAAGGGGAATTAGAGACAATGTTTAAGTGGTTTGAGCAGGGCCCTCTGCCCAGATATTCTGCATCGGATGGTGATAAAGTGACATACCCAACTTTGGTATCAGTTAAATACCAGAGTTAACTCCATTGCACTAGATCTTAATTTACACTGGTATAAATCTACAGATGTCCTCCTAACTCCTGCAAGAATTACTCCCAGTGTAGTTTAGAAGAAGCAGAATCAAAATAATGCCCAAAGAGTTTCAACAAGCGTTCATAAAAATATTTAAAACTATACTTCTAAATACAGTATCATCTGTTAATGGAACTAACAACATTTTAAAAATTATTTTTCTTCTCTGGGTGCAGAAGTTATTTTCCGTCATTTGCTTAGAAATGTACATTTTCTTCAACTGAACATAATTAATTAGCTTATATTTTTGTATACATAAAATATCACGGAATTAAACATCATCTTTCTAAGGCTATACATATTTAATCCCTGTTCTGCATCTCCTGTGAACTGATCCACTGGATTCCAGAACCTGTCTCACATAGTGAAATGACCAAGATTTGTTGCTACTTTTTAGCATTAATGTTGATCAAAAAAGGTGACAGTTTTTCCCATGATGGTTTGATAAATGCACACCTACCCACTCTTCTACTAAACATACTTCATTAGAGCTGACAGCTACTTCATACACAAAACATTTTTGTTTAAATCTGCCTTTCAATTTTCAAATTTTCTTTTTATTTTCGAGGTTTTGACCCAAACTTTTTTTATTTTCCCCTCTTTCTTTTTTTTTTTTAACTTTTCCTAATCCTCTCAGCAGAAAGCTGACAAAAAGAGTTAAATTATGGAAAAAAATAAAATCAAAAAGAGTAAAAAAGACCAAAAAACATGATTGGGGAGGGCTTTAATTTAAAACAAACAAGCAAACATACTTTGAATGTTCAAAGCAACTATGTGGACACAATTGAAAGACAATATTTTTTCAAAATTTTCAAATTTAGCATCAGAAGATGCTCAAGACTTGTCTTCACATTGAAGACCAGGTCCAATAAAATCATGGAAAACTTTAAAGACAACCTGTGAGTTTCATTTTTGAGTAAATGGTATAGTACACCCACATTCTGCATCTGAAAAACTTGGGAGTGTAACTCTGAAAAATAGTTAAAATACCTAAGTCACTTAGGTGCTTTTTAAAATTATACCTACAAAGAACATTCTCATGTTAGCTTTGTGCCACTTATAAAGCTATGTAGTGTTATAGGGCACGCTCTATTAATAGAAATCAATATGAGCAGACATATTTTAAGTTACATTCCAGAACTTATTAATTTATTACAACTCATACTATGCACAATAATCAGTGTTTCCTCTGATAAAGTATAAAAACAATTATTTATTTCTGTTCTTCTACCTGTTCCTTCATTTGACCTCTGAGTGAAACATTTCTACTGTACTTTACTCGCTTCCTATCTGCATGCATTCACACGATTTGAACAATGATTGAAAGCTGTAAACCCAATATTGAACCGTAAACAAGTAGAAACTCATGTTCTTAAACGCAGTGCAAGGAAATCTTAGTACCATTCTACTCTGAGCATGCATCTTAACCCAGATTCTTTCCCCATCCTTCCGTTAGGTACAGTTCCAGACTCATAAAGTAATACACTGATTTTTAAAAAGATTTCTATTCAACAGTAATTAAATATTGAGATGTCAAATGTGAATCTGGTTTAAGATAAATACTCAGTTTTGTGTCTAGGACAGGGCTCAGCCTAGTGCCTGTAAGCATCTAGGAAATAAAATGCTCCAATATTTTTCCTTAAGTTCCTTAAGTTACACTGCATTTTGTTGTGAGGAGAATCTTTTCTGAGGCTTATTGGATCTTCATTTAAATTTTTATCAAGTTTGCTCAAATTTGTTCTCAACAGGCAAATATAAGCCCCCTACAGTGAGGACAAAGATATCTGTTGCTACCAAATGAAATTAAGATCCAGGTAACTGATTCCTTCTGTTTCTACTTTTCCTGCTATTAATAAGGGCCTTTAATTTGCTGTAGTCCCCTCTCATCTTCTGGGACTGTTCCCTTTGCTGACCTTGCTGTCTGCTGTCTTTGCAGTACTGATTAATCATCTGCATTTCTGAATGGCTGAATGCTCCCACAAAGTCCTTTGGGTGGAACTGCAGCGCTCGTACTGAACTGGCCCAGGTCCAAGGTGACCACTTGTCAGTCATGAAGGCCACCATCTCGGAATCCAACACTTTGAAATTGATCTTGGCTAAGGTTTGCTTGAAGCTGTTCTCTGTGGCAATGCAGTGGTAGAGTCCTCGATCAGTGTCTTGGACAGAGCGAATCAGGAGACCTTGATCAGTAGCTATGATCCTCTCATTAAGCTTGACCTAAAGCACAAAAAGGCATAAGAAAATTTTTAGAGAATGTTACAGAAATAGGCAATGCTATGCTGCTATGTCTTTTTCAAATACCTTCTTTTTTATGGGCTTCTATTCCTTTCTAAAAGCATTCTATTTTGCTTTAGCATGTGTCTCCCAGTGATCACCGTTATTGCTAATGTTAGGAGGTAGCTTTCCTCAGTTCAAGCAAGTGTTTTAAAGGAAAATTTCAGTATTTTTGTTCACTATGTTACAGGAGATTTGATTGGGATGAAGGTAAACATGCAAACCTGGAGATTAGATGAAAGAACTGAGGCTGAGAACGCTAACTTTCATTTGCCAGGGTTACCTCCAACATGAGAAGTTGTGCCTGTGACTTAGTGGAAGAAAGGTATAGAATAAGGCTGAGAGTTGATCTGCGTGAACAAAAAAGGTAGTGAAACACAGATATATGGGCAGTGAGGTGGACTGAAAACTGGCTTAATTGTTGTGCTCAAAGCAGCACTACAAAGTCCAGCCTGTCAATAGTACTGCCCTGCAGGGGTGGATAAGGTAGCCAGTATTGATAACATTTTAATTAATTACCTACATGATGAGATCAAGTGTACCCTCCACAAGGCTGCAGATGATACAAAACTGGGAGGAATCATTGAGGCACTGGATGGCTATGCAGTCATTAAGAGGGACCTCTATGAGCTGGTGAAATGTACTGACTGCAACCCCAAGTTCAACCAAAGAAAATGCAAAGTTCTGCACCTGGGGAAGAACAAATCCATGTCCAATATAAGCTAGCATCCAGCCTTCTGGAAAACAGCTCTGCAGAGAAGGACCTAGGATGGACAACAACTTGACTAGCCAATACTGCGCCCTTATGGCCAAGAAGGCAAATGGTAACCTGAGCTACATGAGGAAAAACATTTCCAGCAGGTCAAGGACCTCCCCCTCTACTCAGCCCTGGTGAGGATGCCTGTGGAGTGTTGGGTCCAGTGCTGGGCTCCCCAGAATTAAGAGACACATGGACCTACTGGAGCAAGTTCAGCAAAGAGCCAGAGATGAAGGGTCTAAAGCATCTCTTATTTGATGAGTGGCTGAGAGAGCTGGGACTGTTCAGCCCGGCAAAGAGAAGGCTCAAGGAGGATCTTATCTGTGTTTATAGATATTTGACAAGAGGGTATAAAGAAGATGGAGACATACTCTTCTCAAAGGTGACTAGTGACAGACAAAGAAGCAATGGACACAAACTGAAACACAGGGAATTCTCTCTCAATTTAAGAAAACACTTCTTCACTGTGAGGGTGCTAAGCATTGGAACAGGATATCCAGAGATGTTGAAGTCTCCATCCTTGGAAATGTTCAAAATCCATTCAGGTTTTGACATGGTTGTGTGTCACTTGCTCCAGCCTGAACCTTCTTGAAGAGGGGTTTTGAGGTAGATGATCTCCATAAGTCCCCTCCAACTCCCACAATTCTGTGATTAAGCATATGGTTTGAGGGTAGACTGGTTCATATGGCTAATTTCCGAAGAAATCCATCTATATTGCTGACTCTATGGCTTGGTATAAAAGTATTCATAGAGACAGTTCTGGACAGTATCCCTGTATTACTTGGAATTTGTTCATTAGGATAGTAGAGAATTGCTGTAGGATTCTATTTCTAGTATCCTATTTCAGCTATCATCTGATTATAAAAAACAGTGCACATGTGCCTTTGCATATCAGCTCTGAAGCGCTAACTTAATCCATTACATGAGATTATCACTTCTGGTGTTTCTGGGAAAGGCTTTTCTTTTTTTGCCACTGGACTTTTCTTATATGCAATTCTTTCCAGAATTCATTTAAAAGCTATTCTCTTGTGAACATTTTGAGTTAGATTCTGGGGTAAGATTTTTTTAAAATTCAGAGGGATTCAGCTTAGCTTGAAACATAATGACTCAACCCTTTGATTGTTTTATTTTATTTGCTGCGACTTAAAACTTCATTGATTCTGCTAAAGTTATTGAACATAACGAAAGCGTTCAGCTGAAGTAAGGAGTTAAATGATTACACCTACATTGCTAGGATGGGGCTTGAGTCTTACCAGAGCACAGAAGAGAAAGAGGAAAGAAGGATTCAGTGGAAGGCTTGTAAGTCCTCTCTGATATTAGAAAATAGCCTGATATGAGAATACTGCTTTTCAGTATTTACAATCTATCAACAGACACTTAATTACTTAATTTTTCTTTACAAAGAAAGTTCCTTTTTATTCATACAGTAACTGTCTTGGCTTTGAAATGGATTTTTCCCCCTTTCAGATTACTTAAGGAAGGCCCATTCCCCATAAACAATCATATTGTATATTGCAGTGCTGAAACCTGAGAGCCTTAGAGAGTGCAGTAATGGAAACTGTGACTGCATCATAGTGGGAAAATGCTTTTGTCAATACATGCTCTCAGCCTGAACTACTTTCTTGCTAAGAAAACCTTTCACTTTTCTTCCACTTTTGCCTTTTATCTCTTCAATTGCACTCAGAGTCTACTGGATGCGGACTTTTTTTCCTGAACTTTTTACAGCTTATTGCTTTTATGCCCAATTCCTTGGTTCAGTAAGATGTCCTAAGTGCTGCAAACATTTGTTTTGCCATTAGTAAGATGTGAAGGAAAGATTCTTTAGTTAGTTCCCTGTCTTTAGGGCCAGGCTGGAATTTTCTAATAGGTGTCCTGCCCTGACAGAAATCAGCAAGACTGATGAATGGGTTCTGATTATGAAGACTCTGCCCTGGTGTATGCAAGAAAAGTGCTGGCCACCATCCTGCATCCATGCAGATACTCCAACCTGCTTCACGGTAACAAGATTGTCTTATGAAAGGCAAACGCTAAAGGCAAAAGCTATCTCGCCTTGGTCAGGGAAATGGATTAGATGATCTCTTAAGGCCTCTTCCTACCATTCTGATTACTCACTTCTTTCCTTCTGTCATTGTCCTTCTGTAGTAACCATTTAATAGAAGCTTGAGGAGATTTGGGTGTACATTCAAGAAACGTGGTGTTGTTTTTTACTCCATACTGGACTATTTCTGCAGCATTTCTGTATGCTGAAAAGGAAAAGAAGACAGGTCAGGTTACTGTAAATGATAGTTTGATATGGAAATCAAGTAACTACACATTTGCATTATTAGCAAATATATAATTTTCAGGTCATCTGAAATATGCATGATCCTGATGCTGGCAAGCTGTTAGTAATTTAGGGCACATATTTTTCATGGAAAAGGAATGAAATGTGAAGAAGCATAGCCAATTTCAAATATCAGTATTTTCAGTCAGGCATGGTCTGTTCTGAGAAAGTAGGATGCCTATAGACCAACAGATAACTATGTTTCTAGACTCCTTACTGACTGGTGTCTTGCCTGAAAAGTTCTGCTGATTGAGAACCTTTAAGAGGAGAATATTCTTGAACTCTGTTATTCTTTCTCACAGACAGAGTAACTATCTGGAACTGTTCAACGAAAAATGAAGCATTTATTCAGTTTACAGTCTAGGGCAATATAGTTGGTGTGATTCAATACTGCACTATCCCAGGTGTGTTGCAGTATCACAAGGAGGCAAGAGAGGGCAGACTCTACTCCCACTCAGCCATCTCTGTTCCTAACAAAGCAAGAAAAGGATTTTAAATCAGAAATGCAGTGGTAGACAAGCTAGCAACAGAGGCCAGGACAGATTTATCACACTCCAGCAACACAAAAGGCAAATGCTGAGTGTACATCATTGCTTAGATTTACTGCGCCCCTTCATAGTCTCCATAAATGAACAACTGACAGTTACCGATAGGAACTATCATTGTTTTGATCAAATATTTGTCTTGAAAACATCACACTTCCAGATTTAAAAGTTTACCTCAAATATGAAATGCAAATTGCATTTCTTGATTCAAGAGCAATGGATACAGAGTGATATAAGAAATGGAATCACCCAGAATTCTAAGATGTCTAGAAATCAGACTGTTTTTATACAATCATGACTGTTTTCCCTCATACTGAACTTTATATCCCATTCTTTTACATTATTTCATCAACTGATCTGTGAAATGGAAATCTATGCCACTAAAATAAGGAGAATTTGTTTGACTTTTGTCCTGTAAAGTACATCTGTGAAGCTGAATGAAAATCCACTGTAATTTTCAGAATAGTGTGGAAAGGTCATAAATTAGCAAAAAGCTTATCAGTGGACTGGTTAATAGAATGTAGCTGAATGAAACATACTCAAACAATAAAGGATTTTTACTCTTTTTATATGCTAGTATTAACTCTATCACAGAAAAACATTTTTATCTATTTAAGTCCTCAACATATACCCATCCTTCTTGCCTAGACCATTTCACTACAACTCTGTATCTGCTAATGAAAAGTGAGAGAGTACAAATACATTTTCCTAATGGCCCTAAGAACTAACAAAAGCTTAACAGGAAAAAGGAATTCACATAACATTTTAAAAAGTCATATAAACCTTAGTTCTTGATGATCTATTTAAAAACAGAAATATGCTAAAAGTGCTTAGTTTATATGAGCTAAGAAATCTAAGTCATACAACAAATCATGCTTAAAGCTTTAGTTTAAAATTATGGTTCCTTACAAACTTGGGTGCTTTCTTGCTATAGCTGACTTCCAGTCTTTTTGTCTTTTGGATAGATTTCATTTTTCTCCCAGCATAATTGTTTTTCTATATATATCTTGAATTATATCTTGACTAAGTCTAAGTTGTTATTTCTTTTTATTTTTTTATTCTTCTGGGGGAAAAAAGGGAAAAAAACTCTGCCACCTACCTACATTATACCCCACTGTTGTCCTGGCCTCACCAAAACATCCTTAAAAATTGCTAAGACATCAACCCGTAAATAAATCTATCTTAAAACAAAACAAAAGCCACCACCAACAAAAAAGCCCACAAGAACTCTGTATCCCAGAAACTAGCCAGGCTGACAACCCCAAAGCTGACAGTTGACATTCTCACATTTTCCAGGCTGAAAGAGGAGACACCCACCCTTAGCACATACAATGAACTGTGGCCACAGCACATGCCTGCAAGGTAGGAAACTCAGGTCAAGTTACTATACAATTCAGAGCCCCAGCTTTAATGTGGATGTCTCAGAGCTCAGGTGCATTCTCTAATCATGGGTTCATCTTTCATAATCACATGCTGAGGCTTCAACTTCAGCTAAGTGATCTGAGTCATTGGGGAAGACTGGTTGCCTCTCCGGTCTGGCAGCTGTAGCAGGATTAGCCACATTCTGGCTGGGGGAGTTATGGCCTGCTGACTCCTGTGGCTTACTTTGTCTCAGGAGATTGCTAGTTGAAAACTAGAGGTGGAAGAAGCTTGATTCTCTAATGTGTGCCCTTGGTTTGATGGGATAGGCTGTCACAGCCTTGCTCAGACATGCGGGGGTTAAAAGAGACTGTACTGCCTTGTTGTATGTGTCTACTCTAACTAGGTCTTTGGCCATATTTGACTGGTGTCAGTCAGCCTGGAATAGATGTGGAAAGAGTTAGCCAAGAGGGGCACCACTGTCCACCCTCACTGTGACCTGACTCACTAAACAGTTGCACAAGCGGAATAAGGGACTTCATTAGAAGATTTGGAGGAATTTATTTTCCTATGTGAGGGTAGAAAGGGAAGACTCATAACTCAAAAGGCAGGGCTAGGATGGTGTGTCTTTTACCAGCTGTTTGCTGAGGCTTATGTTCCAAAATATGACTCTTCTCTAATGTTCAGAAAAATCCTGGGAGCCAAGACTTAAATGTATTAAGGGACATTAATAAAGACTGAAGGGATTTAGAAGTATAACAGCCTTTGATTTTTCTGTACTTGTTTCTAGTCAACACTGTCAACCTCCCATTTCTTATGCTATGCCGTGGTTCAGCATTTTATTATATATATGCAGGTTTCATGTAAATGCAAGGAAAGATGTCAAAAACAAAACAAAACAGAGCACAACTCAAACTTGGAAAATAATTATGCTTTCACAGTAAACCACATAGATAATGTGAGTGATGGTGAGTCATATAAGGAAAGTCTTGCGCTCTTTTTATAGCATGAGGATATCTAAATTATAGTACCTTTCAGGTTGAAACCTCGGCACTGAGTCATAGGGTTTCCATGTCTCACATCTTGTCTACGACTCCTCCTGAAATATTGTGCAAACAAAAAATGTTATTCCAAGATAGTTACACTTTTTTTTTTTTCACCTAGGTCCAGTATTAGTGGAAGTTTTCATATCCTATGTTGAGTGTGTTTTTCTACTGGCAGGCACATAAGAAGATGCTATTTCAGAGAACAATCAGTTTGCAGAACATTCTAAAGCTGTTGTACTTTTGGTAGGTAAAGACATTTTGCAACAGAGGTATAGAGATGGAAGGGTTCAAAACGATATAGAAAATGGACAGAGGTTCAGCCATATTTAACTGATGTCAGTCAATCAGGAGTAGCTGGGGAAAGCAGCAGTCAAGAGGAGCAAGGTATTTGCTACTCTGTGTACCCTCACTGACTGAATAAACAGTTGTACTGACAGAATAAGGGACTTCATTAGAAGATTTGGAAGAATTTATATTCTTGTGTGAGAGTAGAAAAGGAAGAATCATAACTCAAAAGGCAGGGCTAGGATGGTGTATTGCTATTCTAGTAAAGCTCAGAGCCAGAACACTGAGCTGGAGGTCTGAATTCCACTGAATTCCAAGGTACTCATGCTGGTAAGATCATTGGCAATAGTGTGGCTCATAATTACCATTAGAGACTGAGGATCATATTTAGGATGCTCTTATGAAAATGGCAAAGGGGAGATGATTAGGGAGATCTCTCGTCTATAACTGAACCTCATCTATATCATGCTGACAACATCTTTTCAAACAAACAACAAACAAACAGAAAGTTATTACTTAGTGCAGCAGGGAATAAAACCTAGCTCATCTGAAATAGCATTCCTCTAGCAGGTCACAGTTCACAGAACACAATACATAAAAATTTCAAAGTTAAATTTTTGTTCTCAAGTTCTGTTAGTTTGTTTGCTTGAAATTCATAGGTCAATATTTATCAAATTCAATGAAAAAAATATATTCGTAATAAACTCTACTGCAAAAGGATGCTTTTGGGATAGGTAATAGCCGTATTTTCAGTTATGCACTAATGATCTACAAGATCAGAAACCATAAAAAATCCCTAGAGCTCCAGCGGTGCTGAGTGAAGGGTGATGTCTCTGTGGCCTTATTATATCAGACACTGCACAAACACTGAAAGACAGCCCCTATAATCTCATGTCACCTGATGCTTTGCTATACTGTTTTAAAAGGAACCATTTGAAAGGTAGTCTTTCAAAGCAGTAATTTCTGACATTCCAAGTATATTTTTAATGCTTACTATCCCAAATTTCACATGACTTGAGCTCTTAACCCTCATGAACTGTATAAGCGAGTCAAAGGGGACAGTGAAGAATTTTTCAGTGAACTTCAGGATCCCTCTGGTGCCATGAGCTGCTTCACACTAACAAAGATAAGATGCCTATTGCATTAAACTAATTATGTGAGGGTAAACTTACAGTGTGATATTTATCTCCCCCCAAAAAACAGAAATATTTGGTTGAAAAGCTGATGTTTAGAAAATAAAGATACGGTCAGGTGCTTTGAGGCAAAGCAACCAGGGTGAGGAACTACAATAATTCATGGGAGACAGAAGTGGTAAAAGAAACAAATGACCAAATATATCTAGCAGAAAGATACTAATGTCTAGACTATGAGCCTCATCTCTAATTACTAATGTTTATTAGATAAAGGGCCAACTCATTTCCTTAACATCTAAAATACAGATTTTTTTTCATGGTCCATGGTGTTTATTTTGATTTGAAATAAAAAGCAAATTGCAAACAAACAAATAAATAAATAAATA